AAAGTCCAAAACCTCTTTGATTCTTTCTACTGTACTCTATCGCGTGATAGCTGCAGGGAAGTAGATATCGTCACAGAGAGGTAGAGATATAAAATGTATACATGCTAAATAAATTAAGTAGCTTGCCCCAAGTGTCTACAGCTATTTAAAGGAAGAGCCTGGACTAAAACCCTACCGAACAAAGTCTTTGAATGTTGCAAAGTTAGCTTTTGCCTCAGAATTAACGTGGTTGATGCATCCAAACATCATTGTAGAATTGGCTCATTTTGTTAAACACAAAAGAGTTATATCTCTACTGCTTGAGACTGCTTTTGTGGTTTGAAAACACATAGAAACAAATAATGATCCCAGGTTCTAGCATATTGGATTATAAAACACAGTGGGGCCTTGACTTACGAGTGTCCCGACTAACGAGATTTTCAAGATACGAGCCGTCTCTCGGCCGATTTTTTGCTTTGAGTTGCGAGCTAAAATTCGGGTTATGAGCCAGCTTCAGATATCCCACCGCTAGTTGGCGCAGCGAACGTCACAGTGAACGCCACAACACTGGATGTTTACTGCCTGACTCAGAGAAGAGGATGTTTAGTGCCTGACTCAAAAACCGGAAACATTTCTTCTCAGGCCTTGGAGAGGGGGTAAAAGAAAGCAGATACAGAGATAGGCGGGGACTGCCTTGCTCGCTGTGGGAGAAGTGTAGAAGAAACCTGTTAGGATTGGGGAAGAAACTGATTAAAAAGGAAGTCAGGCCTGGCCACTGTGGCTCAGTGGTTGAGCCGCGACCTACGAACCAGGAGGTCATGGTTCAATTCCTGGTCAGGGCACATGCCGGGGTTGCAGACTCGATCCCCAGTGTGGAGTGTGCAGGAAGCCGCCGATCAATGATTCTCTCTCATCATTGATGTTTGTATCTCTCTCTCCCTCTCCCTTCCTCTCTGAAATCAATAAAAAAAATATATTAAAAAGGAAAGTAAAAATATAGACAATAATAACACATTTGGAGATCTTTCTCTTCAAATTCCTCAGGATAAGATTTTCCCAATGCTGGGCTCAACTTACTCCAGCCTTATCTCCCACTCCCTGCCCACACCCAGGGAGCCATTCACCCAGAGGGACTTTGCCCCTGAGCTTTCCCCTCCCCCTGCTTTGGCACTCGCTGTTCTCCCCACCCAGCACAAGGCCCCTCCTGGAGTCAGCGGACAATTAATATTTGCTTCATGAAGTTCAATGGAGAGTATGCGTCCTCACCTCTACTTCTACTTCTCATATCTTATCATCTTAGCTCCAAAATATTCGTGTATTTGAAAAGCATAGAATTGTTACAGCAAGCTCCTATCATGCTCCAGACCCGGTGCTAAGAAGTAGGATCCCAAACAAGAGCACGGTGTCTCTCTTGGTGGCGCTGGAACTGAAATCTCACTTCCTTCGTGAACTCATCCCTGATTTCCAGCCAGAAGTATCTTCTCAAAGGCCCTCCTGCCCACATCTTATTTTTCATCTTATTTACACGTCTGTGTTATTGCCTTGACGAGGAAATAAAACCCGCCAAGGCAAAGGCCTGATTTCAAAAATTATTTCTTAACCTCTTACAGCTCTTCACATTATACCCGTGGTCGGCAAACTGCGGCTCTCGAGCCACATGTGGCTCTTTGCCCCCTTGAGTGTGGCTCTTCCACAAAATACCACGTGCAGGTGCGCACGTACGGTGTGATTGAAACTTCGTGGCCCATGCGCAGAAGTCGGTTTTTTGTGGAAGAGCCGGTATTTTATGGAAGAGCCACACTGAAGGGGCCAAAGAGAAGCATCCTTGGCTCTGTTGACTAATGAGTTTGCCGACCACTGCCTATTCCTTGCATATAGTAAGGCCTCAGCAGATGCTTGTTAGATTCTAAAACATCGGTGCTTGTCCAACATCGATATCGTATTGGTGTGTCCCATTTATAAGAGAATCGATTTCAGACTAAAT